TGAAAAATATTGTTGTGCAACAGCAGATATTCAGCCAATATTTAATTCTTTATGTAAAGATAAAGAAGCACATCCATGTCATTAGTATGCCATTTGTGTAACAATTTCTCAGGAGAAAAGGGGTCGCAAGTGGAACATTGGAAGAACCCTCCCTTACTCCACATGAAGAATAACTTCTGTCAATATATGGTGTGTGTTCAGTGAATAGTCTGGATTCACTATTAGCAGTTTTACACCCAGCTAAATGTGCAGCTCTTCTCAGTGAGAGCAAAACCGCCCCATGTGGTACATAGCATTCCCTTACTTTAACATGTATTGGTTAGCAAGATGGCTCAGTATGTAAAGACACTTGTTGCCAAGCTTGAGGACCCAAGTTGGATCCCCAGGACCCACAAGGTGGAGAGGGAGAACCAACTTCCACAAGTTGTCTTCTGACCTACACATTTATGTCATGAACCCGCACACAAAAAATAAGTGTATAAAATTAAATTGTGTGTTTATCTCTTCTGTTTACCTTCTCTAATATCTCACTAAGTGCCTTGACTTTTATGTGCTAATTATGCTTTCGTTTAAAAAATTTTTAGATTATAATTGCATTTCTCTCTGTTTCCTCCCTTCAAACCATCCCATATGCCTCCCCCACTTTCATTCATGGCTTTTTTTTTTTTTTTTAGCTAATTGTTAGTGCATCGTGTTAATTATTTTTTAACATTTTATTCAAAATGATATGAAGTGTTTCTATCAATTATTGTGTTTTTTTTTTTCCAGTTACAAGATCACACACATTTCTGCTATTTGCTATTTGTCTAACTGCATTTTTGGCTGCTTGTGGTTTTGACTATGATGGACCCTAAAGCATCTATCACACTGATGGAGCCCTTCACACTTGCTCCCCTTCCCAGCCAGAACAGAGGTTAGTCTCTTTCCTTCGGAGCTTGTCTTCCTTCTTTAGTAAAAAGAAGAAAACAAATGGGGTTATGGACATAGCTCAGTCTGTGAAGAGCTTGCCATGCAAGGCTAGGGACCTCAGTTCTCAGCACACACACAAAAAGCTGGGTGTGGTGATGTGTGTCTGTGCTCACAGGGTTAGGAAGATGAGACAAGAGGATCCCTGGAGATGGCTGGCCTGCTACTCTAGCTTGATCAGTGAGTTCCTGGGTCAGCGAGACCTTGTCCCAAGGGTTGAGGTGGAGGGTAGTAGAAGACTCTGCATCAGCCTCTAGCCTCTACACACATGTGCACACACTAACATACATGCATCTTCTCTGCTATATATAAAATAAAATAATCTCAACACTCAGGAAATGAACCAAGGGAACCTTGAGTTTGAGACCAGCCTGAGCTACATAGTGAGATCTTGTATTTAAAAAAAGGTGTAGGCTGGGTGGTGGCAGCAAGCACCTTTAATCCTAGGGGCAGAGGCAGGTGAATCTCTGAGTTCAAGGTTGGCTTCGTCTACCAGAGTGAATTCCAGGACAGCCAGGACTATACAGAGAAACCCTGTCTCAAAAAAAAAAAAAACCAAAAACCAAACCTAAACAAAAGTATAAAATAGAAGCTAGAAGTCCTCCTTTCCCTTCCCACAAACTTTCCAAGGCTGAAACAACTGATAATAATTTGCTGCACATCTTTTCAGTTTTTATACTTATTCAAATAGAGACCCAAGAGGAGACGTGTTTTTACTTCTACACGACCATTCATCAACGTGTCAGGTGCATGAAGCTTGTCTTTCAGTTCCTGAAGGCTTTCCATAGTCTGTATTGACCATGGCTTGTACAATAAGTCCCACAGCTGAGATGTTGGTAGGCAATTTTCCATTTGTTTTCTTAACCATGAAGAACGTTGCCATGGTGGCGAACTGGTTAGAGAGCCTCTATTTCTGTAGAATCGATTTCCATTGCTGAAATCATATGGTAAGCTCATTTAAAATCTTAAAATATTCTGCCAACTGCTATTAAAAGGGCATTTCCCTGGAGCTTAGCAGTAAGAGGTAACTAAGTTCACCCTTCACACAGGGTGACCTTGATGTCTCAGAGTCTTCATTTTTTAAAATGATTGAGTATTTTCTAATATGTTGGTGGGTTTTCTGGATTGCATTTTCCTTTTTGTAACTTATACTATCATTTGTTAATTTTACGTTATTTTCTTTTTAAAAATTGAGCTGTTGGGCTCTTTTGCCATTAATATTGCAAATGTTTTCTCAGTCTTTTTTTTATGTTTTTGTTATATAAAATTTAAATATATTTTCATCATCTTCTTCCCCTCCCCCAACTCCTTCCAGATCCTTTCCACCTCCCTACCCACCCAACTTTAAGTTCTTTCTAAAAAAAAAAAAAAAAAAAAAAAAAAACCAATATAAGAATAAAACCCCCAAAACTTAGAACACAAAACACATCAATATTCAAAAAGAAAAAGCAAACAAACAAAAACCAAAAACCAGGTCAATTGCTCCAGAACATGAGACCTCCCCCTGGAGTAGTTGATATATCCAGTGTCAGTCCACTGGAAAAAACTGGTTTTTCCCTCTCCCAGCAGGTATAAATGACAGTTTAGTTGTTAACCTTTACCCTAGTGGCTAGGTTTTCATTTATTCATTCATTTAAAAAGATAACAAAATAAAATATAAATGATAAAATAAAGACTATCACATCAAAGTTGAACAAGACAGAGGGAAGAGAGCCCAAGAGGAGGCAGAAGAGTCACAGACCCATTTGTTCACACAACACTAAGCAGGATCATAATGTAAACACAGAGAACCTGGTGCAGACCCGTGCAGGCCCTGTGCCTGCTGCTTCAGTCTGAGTTCACATCAGCTTTGCTCATGTTGATTTAGAGGGCTTTGTCCTTTTGGTGTCCTCCATGTCCTCTGTCAGTTTCCTGAGCTCCGAGGGGAAGAATCTGATGGAGACGTCTTATTTAGTGTTCCAGGGTCTCCCATTCTCTATGTAATGTCTGACTGTGGGTTTACATGTCTGTTTCCATCTGCCGCAGGAGGAAGCTTTGATGGTGTCTGAACAAAGTATTTGTCTATGAGTATAGCAGAATGTCATTAGGAATCATTTTATCATTATGTATATTTTCCTGTTTTCAGACCAGTTTTATTTGGTTTTACCCTAGGTCTCTGGGCCATCTGTCTCAGGTTCTTGGTTGTTGTTGGCTCAGCAGTGTTGGCTATGGGTTCTATCTCGTGGACTGGGCCTTAAGTCAGATCAGTTATTGGTTGGTTACACCTACAAGATTTGTGCCCCCATTGCCCTAGCCTATGATGCAGCGAGTGCGCTGTAGACAAAGGGTTTGAGGCTGGCTTGCTGTTTACATTTCTCTTTTGATAACAAAAGAGTACCAAAGACCCTGGAACATAGAGGTGAAGGCTCTGTGTAGGCATCAACTTGACTTCTTCATGTTCAATGAGTTATATAGGTGTTATCTTCAGCAATGGGGTTTTGCTGTCAGTTTATAGGGAACAACCTATTGTCTTGGTAACAGCTTGGGTTTCTGGGGGTTCCCATGGTTCCCCTTTGGCCAACAACTAATTTAGATGTAACCCATTTCTGGTACTGGAAGCTTCATTTGATGACAAGAGATGGTCACTTGGGACTCTGTCTCCCCCATAACTTGGCAATTTCATTTAGATCACCTTCATACACACACACACACACACACACACACACACACACACACACACACACACGTTTCCTCTGTATTAAGTTCTCATATTACCCCTCAAATGCTCCTCAATTTTTACCTCTCTCCCCATATTCCCTCCCACAACTCTGTCTCCTCTCCCCTATCATTCAATCCTCTTATTCCAGCCCCCTTCCATCCATACACAAATATCTATTCTATTCCCCTTTCTTGAGATCTTGTCTTCAATGTCAATCACAAGTCTTAAGGTCAGAGGAGGTGGAAGACTTCTCAGCAGGCAATAGCATCTTTCAGAGGACCCAGCCAGGTTCAGTTCCCAGGACCCTCATGACAGCTCATAGCCATCTGTAATTCCAGTTCCAGGAGATCCAATGCTCTCTTCTGGCTTCCATTAGCACCGGGGATGCCTGTAGTGCACATTCACAGTACAGGCAAACACTTATGAAGATATTTAAAAATAAATAAATAAGAACAAGGTTGGAACTGGAGTTGAAATCACAGTTTCTTTTTATGCAGCAACTCTGTGAAGTACTTAGATGTGAACCTTGGGAGGTTCCCAGAGGCAGCACTGAGGGGACATAATTCATTCAAAGTGTTTTGGAAAGCTCATCCTGATCTGAAGATCTTAGACCCCAAAGCTTACCTTTCCAGAGAAACCTTTGGTGGCTCAGTTTGTACAAAGCAGAACCTCTGGCCAGCCCTATCCATCACTTCAAGCACTTTCACCCTTAGAGATTGTCCTGCCCATTCTCTCTTGACTTGCTAATTGCCCATTCCCTACAGCCTTTGTTGGCTGTACACCCGGCCTCTGGAGCGGTGCCTGGCACAGAGCAGACAGTCCACAAATGATGAGGGCTGAGTTTCAGATTCCATCTTTATAAGATTTTGATAATGAAGTCAACTGAGGTCTGAAGTGTTTAAAACATGTTTGGTTAAATAGGCTAAGCATCAGACTTACCTGTTAATTTACCCTATAAGAACTCAGAGTCTTGCCTGGTACCATTATGGGTGAATTTCACAAACAGTGAGTTACGTTTTATGAAAATACAGTGAAGACTTTGGTTGATATTTTATTGACTCCTCTAGAATAATTTGTTTATTTTTACACCTTCAGTCTTCCTGAACAGCTGCCAGTATTAGTCTCCCATGTATTCACAATTTAAATTTTCTTTTTTTTTATTCTTTACTAGTCTATTGAGTTAAAAATTGAAGATCCAACATTTTAAGAGGCTCTTACATACAGTACAAGTCTAATTATTGACAGATGTGGAAATCAATCAAAGGAGACTTCCTCAGACACTGCCTTGACACAGACTTGATGCCTTGTCTCAAAAGATCCTATAAAAATTGCCCCTCTGAAACTGCAATAGTGCAGCAAAACCCCAGGTAAACAGCTGCCTGCTGACCCAATACTCAAATATAGACTGAGAGCCAACAGGCATTTTTTTTTTCTGTGTGCAACTTTTAAAAACAAATCATTAAGTTGAAATATCCAATCTGCACAGTGCTGTCCCTTCACGGAAGGCAAGAAACGGCCAGAGCATCATGTCAGAGGCTGGCCTCGGTGCTGTAGGCTGTGAAAGTGGGCCTCCTTCAGGGTCTGATTGATAAGGAAGTAAGGGCCTTGGCATAGTGCAGACTGCTCGGGCACCGGCTGGGGGGTGCTGGGGCAGGATCTGGGGATGATCTGGCTCAAGCTGCTCTCTGGCCCACTGGCCTTGTCCGGGCTGTTGATGCTGCTGCCGCCGCCACTGTCACTGCTCAAAGACTCTGTGTCCCAGGAGTCCTGGAAGATGGGGTTCCTACTGCTCCTTTTGGTCTGGGGCGGGAGGTGGTTATCATCATCATTTCTTCTCCTTTTCCTGGAGCGGAGGCGCTCACTCATGGCAGCTGGTGAAGGCAAGCGGACGCGGCACCGCCCCGCGCCGACAGCGAACAGACGGAGCTGTGTTCTGACGACCGCCACGCCCACCCCCGCGGGCCTGGGCTCCGGGTGGAGGCTGCTGGCCGAGAGTACCCCTCAGGCTGACCCGCACCGCCGCCACTTCCGGCGCCTCCTCCCTTAAATTTTCTTTAACACAATATGCTGTACACATTAAGACTTGAGCACGATTTGTTTTGATTCTGTTGTGAAAACAAGTCCTTTGTTCTCTATTTTGCATCTCTAGTATTTCAAGATACATTTGACTGAATTCTGTGTCCTGTAACATCGAGCTTACAGCTTCCAGGGCTTTTTTTGTGGCTGCTGTGCCTTTGGGTGGGTTGTGTCTCAGTTATCTTTCCCAGTGCTGTGAAGAGACACATGACCAAGCCAACCTGTAAAGGAAAGGTTTGTTGGGGCTCACAGCTTCAGAGGGTCAGAGTCCATGATCATCTTAGTGGGGAACATGGCAGCAGGCAGGCCTAGTCCTGGAACAGTAGCTGAGGGCTTACCTGTTGAAATAACAACCACAAGGCAGAGAAAGACAGAGGAACTAACTGGAACTGGCATGGACTTTTGAAACCCCAAGGCCCTCAGTGACACACCTCTACCAACAAGATCACACCCTCTAATCCTTCCCAAACAGTTCTACCAACTGGGGGCCAAGCATGCAAATATATAAGCCTATGGGGACCATTCTCCAAATCACCACAGTCTGCTTTCTTGGTGTTATAGGCAGTTGTGCTCTTCGAAAACACACTGTATTTTTTACTTGTTATAGTTTGGCTCTTGGTTTTTTGTTTTTTAGGTTTTTTTGTTTGCTTGCTTTTGCTTTTGTTTTTCTAGACAGACTCACTATGTAGCCTAGGCAGGCCTCAAATGTGTAGTTCTTCTGCTTCAATGTCCCAAATGCTGGGATTTACAGATATGGGCTACTACTCCTAGCTAATTAAAACTTTTTTGTTTATGTGTTTGTAAATATTCATGAGTGTGTAGATTCAGTGTGTGTGTGTGTGTGTGTGTGTGTGTGTGTGTCTACTGGCTCACATATTTGCATGTGTGGTTCCTAGCTGGTGGACTATTGTGAAGGATTAAGAGTGACCTTGTTGAAATAGATGTATCACTGGGAGTAGGCCTGATGTAGCTCTCGGCTACTTCTCCATGCCTGCTACATGCTGCCATGTTCCCCACCATGATGATAATGGACTATCCTTTTGAAACTGTAAGCAAGCCCCCAATTAAATGCTTCCTTTTGTAAGAATTGTCTTGAGCATGGTTTCTCTTCACAGCCATAGAACAGTGACTAGGAGAATGTGTGTTTCGCCTGCATGCATGTCTGTGTGCCATGTGCATCCAGTGTCCATAGAGGCCAAAAAGGTGAGTGGGGGAGGTGTTGAGCCATCTGGGACTGGAGTTAACAGTTACAGAAAGCTGTGAGCCACCATGTGGGTGCTGGGAATTGAACCCTGGTCCTCTCTGGAAGAGTGTTCAGTGCTCTTAACCAATGAGTCATCTCTCCAGCCTCTGTTATGTACATATACTATAACATAGATCTATCTAGCCATCCATCCATTTCATACCTGACTTTGAGTTAGTATTTACAAATAAAAACAAATTGAACAGAAAAGAAATGCCAGCAATGCTAGCTGCCTGAGGCAGGTATGAAGGTGCTTCCCAGGAGAGGTGATATCACGTTAATGTCTAAATGAAGGAAGGGTGGAAAGCCAGGCATGAGAAAGAAAAGTGTTCTTGGCAAAGGATCCATCAAGAACACAGGCCCTGAGGTGAGATCAAAGTAACCTTTAATCTGGTTTTATTCTTAAATTTTAAAACAAAAACTGATATTTTATTTATTTATTTTTAAGACAGGATTTCTCTGTGTTGCTTTGGCTGGCCTGGTAACTCACTCTGTGGACTAGGTTGGCCTGGAACTCACAGAGGTCCACGTGCCTCTGCCTCCTGAGTTCTGGGACTAAAGATGTGTGCCACCACTGCCCAGTGAAAACTCATATTTTAAAGGCACAGAATGAGTCACTGTGACAGCTGCTAGGATGACAAATCTTACCACCACAGTGAGAGTTATAATAAAGGGGCCAGTACATAGCTGGGGCTGGAGCTGACATCTCATGGTTATTCTGATATTCTGGTGTAGGTAGTAAGAACCAGTGTCTCCCTGTCTCCTATCCCCATTTGCTACTGCAGGAATGTGCCTCATACAGCTGTTTCCCATCTCAGTGCAGAGGGTCCCTCCTTGCTGCCCATCACACACATGCTGGGCAAGAAAATTGCCAACATCTACTCAGGTAGATTTCGAGGTTGCATGTGCTTTACCTCACCCCCTAAAGATGGCTTTGAGTACAGTATAGACTGCTAATCAGTGCTCACTTGGCTGCAGAACTCCCAATGTAACACCTCCATTCCGTGCCTCTAAGGCTGGGAGTGGGCTGATTTGTGTCTGAAACAGAGAAAACGGAAATGGCTGTGCTTCTCATAGACCCACAGGCATTCTTTCCTCTCCTGGACAAACTCCAGTGGCTTCCTGGTGGGACTGGCCACGAGGAAGAGGGCTCTGATTATTACATTTTCTTCTAGGTTATTTTGCAACCTAACTTCCCTTTCAGCTTCCCCCACAGTCCTTCCCCCACCCCCACCCCGCTCCCCATCTGTGGCCAGATTATTTCCATACTCTTCTGGACGTTTGCCTTTTCCTCTGGTTCCCTTTGCAAGCCAAGCCCTTGCACAGCACACATCCAATACCACTATTTGAGAGGGTTAGGCAAGTATGAATTATAGGAAATCAACCATGGAGTCATTTTCTCTTTTTTCATAAAGAAATGCAACTTTATTATTTTCAAGTACGTATGCAGTACCTCAAACTAAAGTCTTACACAGGGTCACCAGTAAGGATCTTGTAGCTGTTCCTTTACCAAATATATCAGGACTGATGACACTTTAGCCTATGCATTTGCTGAGTCTAAAGGGGGAGTTCTAAAGTGCCTGAAAAGCATACTTGGAGACAGACTAAATATGCCACGCCTAGCAATACTCTTAATTTACTGACCAAATGACTTCTTTATTGATTTGCAAAGGTAAACTTTTGTGCAAAGTCAGTGATCTCAAATTAATCAGGCCTGAATAAATATGGTGTCCTATTTAGACTTCTAGCCCAAGGCCATGACTTACGATAAAGCAAAAGTCCACTGCGGTGAGACAGTAGCCCTTGGGGGCTGGCCTAATGCTTTTCTTGTCTTTCATGGTTCCATCCTAGGCCTTCCTATTTTCTTGCTGTCTCTGTCACTTGCTTGGTTCGCTCATATAGGTCCAGCTAGTCAATGCTTTCTAGGCCAGGCTTAGAGAATGGACAGCAAAATGTTACATGAGAAGGGAGTAAGGCAAGACAACTCTATACCATAGGAACCTGAAGCCAGCTTCCTGTCTCTAGGAAAATGGGCACTTGCCTGGGAGTGGTGGCCCTGTCATCTGAGAGGTCCAGGGCAGATTCTCTTCAGATTTTCTCTCTTGTCTAAAGTTCTGACAGCCTTTTCCAGGACCAGCTAGGCAATACTGGAAATGACATGGGTTCAGCAGGATGGGCATGAAGGGGAATGAGCGGGAGAGCCGGGGGGTGGGGACTGGCAGCTAACTGGGGTCTCAGAACAGCATGGTGAGCTTAAGAAATTATTCTAAAGAGAGGGGTGTTCCCAAAAGTATGTGGTTGAGAAGGCTGGACCTTCTGTGACACCTGAATCTTGTGGACAAAGAGCCTTGTGACCACTACCCAAGGTGGCACACTGCCTCCTGGTCTTGCCCCTGCTGCTAATCTGACGTGATGGAAATTTGATCTGCTCAAGTGCTAGCCTATAAGGGCAGGACACAGAGCCAGAGCCCACCCCACCTACCTGGAGACTCAAGGGGACAAACTTGTGGTCACTGCCTACCTTTTCTCCCTTTGTCTCTTTCAGCCAGCATGTCCCAATCTCTCCTTGCCAGCCCAGCTCTCCTCTCTAGGTTCTTGACTGGCCTTGGCTGGGAGATACTCCTAATCTCCCCAACCAGCTTCCCTTTCTGGCCTCAGGCTCCTGGACCCACAGAAGGACAGTTTTGTGTTATCGAGGTCTGAAGGAAAGACTCAGGTAGGAAGCTAAGGAAGGCAAGGATGGGAAGCGGAATGAAGCCAGAGATGTGAACACTTGACGGTCTGAGAGGATTTCCTTCTGGATTAGACAGAATTAACCTTTGGGTGTTGATCTGTTTGAAGAACACAGGTGAGAGTAAAGGGCTGGGACATAGGGAGGGCTGGGGTAACCCTCAGTGCTTCAGGAAAAGTAGAGACCCTGGTAGAGTGGGATGAGAGGGATCTGAAGAAGGGACCCCGGCATACACTGAGGGTTCACAGTTGGAACAGTCACCTCAAGCTTATTTACCCAAGCCTGCCACTTGGTTCACTCGGTTACCTCATTCTGTCTCCCTCAAATCTTCCCCTAAAATACAACCCCAGTTTTCCCCAGCTCTTCTCTCCACCACCCCAGCACCACCTCCAGAGCACCCCATCTCTCCCATTCTTCTTCTCCAGTGAGCTCAGTAGTACGTCTCCTTCTCCACCCAGCCTGTTAGAGAGATGGGATAAAGGTTGCAGCAGGAGCATAAAAAGAAGCAAAAGATCAACCCCAAGGGCTTGAATAGCTGAGGTCAGAGGGAAGAAGTCTGGGGAATAGGGCAGAGATAAGGACCAAGCCCTCACCTTGTGGGTGGGCTGTATGTTTTTAAAGGGGAAGGAGGGGACAAACCTGTCTAGAGGGGAGGCCTGTATTTCATTCAGTAGATGCTGAAAATGCCTCCTGGGCTCCCCAGGTAGCAAGTGTCTAAGGAAACAGCTGTCCCACTGGTGCTAGGAAGAAATGCAGTGGAGGACCGGCAGCCCTTTACAAATGTTCTGGGAACCAGATTTCAGATTTTATGTGAAAACACTGAAGTCTTAGATGCTGGGTCCGGTAGAAAACCACACATCTGAAATATTGGGCCACTCAACCCAAACACTGTTCATGGACCATGTGTGGCTTGTAGGCCATCCAGTTCAATCCAGAAAATGATCAAAAATGCTTTTCCAGGGGGAAATAATCGAACTCTCGGTTGATGCCTGAGAACCAGGAGCCCTGTGTCCCGGTGCCAGTTCCTATTTCTTACCTTATGATCCTAAAGGAAAAAAAATCACCTCTGTGCATTGCTTTATCAGCGAAATGTGTATGTGACTAGATGACCTCGAAGGGCCCTTCTAATCTGATGGTCTGTAATCCTAGAGCAGTGGGTCTCAGGACCTCTTTGGCCAGTTGAACAAACGTTTTACAGGGGTCACATAACAGGCATCATGCATGTCAGGTATTTACATTATGATTCATAACAGTAACAAAGTTACAGTTGTGAAGTAGTAATGACAATAATTTTAGGGTTGGGGGTCACCACAGCATGAGGAATGGTTGAGAACCATTGCTCTAGAGGAAGGTGGGAAGCCTTGAAGAACTGTGTTAATCTAGGTGGGATACAGGAAGGGTCCGGGGTGTGCCTGCTCAGGGCTTTTGGAACACCAAAAGCCGTCTGCAGAGAGGAAGTGCTTACCCCCAGGGTAGCGCCTTAGGATGAGCTTTCGGACTTCATCATAGATGAAGATGAGGAGACTGTAGGGAAAGGCACAGAACCACCAAGTGACCCTAAAAACAATGGAGGGGAGTGTCAGGGGCTTGAGAGGGCTGACGCAGCATCACAGAAGTGGAATGGAAATGAATTAGACAGCCTGGGTCCCAAAAGGGGCCCGAGATTTCCCTTGGCCACCTGAAGAGACACTCACTTGAGTGGGTACATTCGGAGAGCCACCCCCATGCCCGGACAGTAAGACAGAAAGGCAGCCAAGGCCGTCTCTTCTAGGAGCCCAAAAATCAGGATCTTGTTTCTAAAAGGCAAAGTAAAGAAGGCAGTTAGCATGGGAGAGGGTGTGGAGGGAGAGCTCCAGGGACGCACTCCTGGGGGCAGAAGGGTAGGAGAGGAGGGAAATGTGGGGGGTGGGTTCTTCCTCCCTATTCTCTTCAAACCTCTTTTCATGCTTTATGTAACCAAAGAAAAAAACATTTATTTCCTTTCCTTCTGCTTGTTCTGTTCACCCCTGGTTACTGTCTATACTACATATATCCACTCATTAAATAATTATTTCTTATATAACTCAGTGCCAGAGATGCAGTAGTCAACAGGGGCCTGCTCCTAGACAGCTTATAATTGTTATTGCTTCAGGCCCATGGGCTGGGAAGATACCATCTTCCCAACAAGGGGTCTTAAAAGCTCCTGTGGGTGGAGCCCATGGATGCCTTCCACCTCTCAGCATCTCCTACAGACTTGGGTGGTTGCTCATCACAGACACTGAATGAAGAGGATGTTTGCAAAATACTGATCCCAGCCAACACTTGGGCAGGAAGAAGTTAACCTATATTCGCTGCATCAGGAGTTAAAAGCACGATGGAACACATTTCTGAGGGCAGTTTCTGGAATCAGACCTGCCAAGTCTATGGCTAGCTTAGCTACTTCCTGACTTTGGGAGGAGGGTTAAAGCGTGCTTAATTTCTTAGAGCCTCATGCTTCTTCTCTACATATAATACGCATAAAAAGACAAGTTTTCTTTAGTTAAACAAAACATGGGACAATGTCTGAAGAGGACATAGGGCTATCTCATTGCTTTTCTTCCACACAACCCATATTTTAAATGATTTTTGTCTCAGGTTACACTTGGTAGTAAGTGGTGAATACATCAAAGTTTATTATAAATATTCATGGATTCCCAGTAGAACTGGATTAACATGCCATCCTGTCTTCTTGGGGTTTGCCCAAGGGTGGCCTACTAGAAAACCTGGCAGTTTCTTGCAAGTAAGTGCCTGGTTCATATGGCTTTTTGAAATACTGCTGGGAGGTATCTCTGAGGACTTTCAACTGCCCAAGGGCAGAAGGTGAGGCCCAGGCACACTAAAGCTGCCTCTGGCCAGGTGGTTTGTGGGTATCAATCCCTGTACTTAGCCACAGTCACATTGATTCTTTCTTATTTGCCTCTTGGATGGGCTGAGTTAATTAGTTTGGTTTCCTCTTCATTCTCCTGTGTCACCCATATGCTGCCCTGTAATTGTGTGATACAAGACTGTGCCTAATTTCTTAGATTTTTCTGGGACAAAATTCATTTAGGGAATAGTGGCCTTTGTTTATAGTAGGAAAAATAAATACAAAATAGAAACCAGCCTGGCCCCTTCAGTATACAGTGCCCATCTGTGTTAAAATCACCAGTGACCGAGGCGCCAGATGTATAGCAAACGAACTACTACAGTGTAGGGTGGAGACCAACCTGGGAGGCCCTGGCCAGCTGAATGACCTTATCAGCTACCCTTGGGGGTTTGTTGCCCATGCAGGGTACAGTCAAACCCACCCTGGCAGAGCTGTGTGAGGTTAGAGCGAGGCACTTAGTTCACTGACTGACATGTGGTTCCACACTGTAGGAAGGCCCCTGGGCAGATGCAGAAACCAGAGGTCAAGTGCCAAGTGTTGGTGTGGAGTACAGGAGACCTGACCCTGGGTTTAGAACTGGGCAAAGGATATGGCTAGGTGCCACTCAAATAAGGAATGGAAGAGGAAGAGGGTAAGAGGAAAATAAGAAAAATGGATACGAAAGTAGGAAGCCATGATAAGGTTATTTTAGGAGCAATGTTAGAATTCAGTAGGAAGGGTCTTGCCATTCTGTTCTAATCCTCAATGAGTGTGTGTGTGTGTGTGTGTGTGTGTGTGTGTTTCAAACCTGGCTATGGATAAGTAGCTAGGTTATTACAACCACATACCTTATCCTTAGCAAACCTGAGCCCTGGGAGCAGAGGTGATCTGGTATTGGGATCCTGGCCTATACTGGTTGGTGACCATGTCTAGAGGACTCTGTCAGGGTGGTAGGTACTGGTAGTGGTAGGCACTCACTTCATGCCCTGCTGGAAAACTGAATTGCGACGGGTCTTGCAAATGATGAGGTCAGCCCACTGCACAACCACGATGCTGGCAAAGAAGGCCGTGTGGCATGTGAACTCGACCACCTTCCGCTGCTCATAGGTCTGGGCAGGAGGCAGGCCGAGAGAGGTAAAGTGTGAGCAGAAGGGATAGATAGCAAACAGCACACTTTAGGCAGTTGCTAAACTTGGCGCTTAACCCATCTTCTGCCCCTAGCTTGCTCCTGGCCAATTCCTGCCAGGCCTTCAGCCCCACCCCTTCTGCTTTGCATACACTTACACAACTGTGCTCACCCATTCTTGTCCATAGCTGTCCTCCAGGTCATTGGTAGTCCGATCATCCCAGTCAAGGCGGATTCCCAGCAGCCGTGATGGTAAAAACCCGTTCTCTGCCAGTATCACAAAGTAGGTGAAGAAGCCGCCCAGAGCCTGGATCATGCCTGGAAGTGGTTGTAAACAGAAGGTGGGACCTGAGTAGAGAAAGAGGCAGGAAAGCGGCCACCCCTCGGGAATGGAGATGGAAGTCTCTGGCTCTCAGGGAGCTGAACTCTTTCCTGAAACTTCACTCATCTCTCTTAGGCATTAGAAGCTTTTGGGGACACCCTCCCAAGCCCCTGGCTGGGCGCACCAATCTGTCCATAAGCCATGCTGATAAGCCTCTCGTTCACCAGCTTGTCTGTCTGGGAGTTTCTCGGCTGCCGTTTCATGATGTCGCTCTCAGCTGCCTCGTATGCTAATGAGATCGCAGGAACCTGTGCACAGAGAACGTGGGGAGGAGAAAGTGTTGGAAGAGATCTGGGAAATAAGAGCAGCAAATGCTCAGTGAAGAATCAACAGACTGCAGTACATCAGTATTTAAGATCCTGTTATCACTAGGGGTATAGCTTAGGGGTGGAGCGCTTGCCGAGCATGAATGAGTCCTGGGTTCAGTGCCGTCCCCTACATGACAGGGTGGTGGGGAGAAACTTCCTGTTTTCCTCCAGGCCTGGGCTTATCTGCTGTCTACTAGTTGGGGTCTGGCCCTTGCCCTGGTGCAGCTCCTCTGTGGGCTGTTCACCCTACCCCCGTTCTGTGTGACAGCCTGGTCTGATTGTACTCCACTCTGATCTCACCATATCTGTGCCCAGGTCAATGCAGAGGATGGTCACAGTACCCAGGGGCAGTGGGATGTTGGCAATGATGAACAGCAGGAAGGGGGTGATCTCAGGGATGTTGCTGGTCAGGGTGTACGCAATGGACTTCTTCAAGTTGTCAAAGATCAGGCGGCCTGTGGAGAGGTTCTGAGGGTATCAGGGAGGTTAGAGGAACTCTCCCCCGCCCCAGGCCCTGGGATATGTTTGGCTGCTCATTTTTTCTAAGAGGAAGGTTTAAAGCTGAAACAGCTCGGAATCTTAGTGTGAGAATCAGAGGAAACAAAAGGTCTGGCTTCAGACATCCTGGATGTCACACAGCCTCCTCACCCTCCTCCACGCCAGTCACAATGGAGGCAAAGTTGTCATCCAGAAGGATCATGTCAGCTGCCTGCTTAGAGACATCAGAGCCAGAGATGCCCATGGCAATGCCAATGTCAGCCTTCTTCAGTGCCGGGGAGTCGTTCACCCCGTCACCAGTCACTGCCACAATAGCTCCCTGGGGGAAGATGCCAAACGCGCTTGAAGACAAAGTCTTTGCCTGTCTGGCCCCTGACTTTTCTGCTCGCTGTCTTGCTCACCTGCCTCTGACACCCCTCCACAATGATGAGCTTCTGCTGAGGGGAGGTCCGGGCAAACACAATCTCCGTGTGGTCCCTGAGGATCTCATCCAGCTGTTCTGACGTCATGTCCTTCAGGTCCGACCCATGCACTACACACGCTTTGGCTTCTCTGGAGGGTAGAGGCAGAGACAGCTGACCATCCACACTCGTGCCAATCCTGATGCCCCTCCCTGCCACCCCCACCCCGTCTGCCATAGCTCCTCTGTGAGGTGGGACTCTGCTAGCTCTACTACTTCTCTGAGAGAGAGAAGGCAATGCTACATCTACCTCATGCAGTACCACACAAGTATAAGTGCTGTTTGCTAGGCATATCTCATCCCTATAGCAACTCTGCTGTGTGGACAGCATCTTGATTTCATAACTGAGAAAATAGAAGTTCAGGACTGCAAGATGTTTCCAAGGTTACACAGCTCATCAGTGAGTGGTACAGGCTGGACACAAACTTGTCTGGGGGAAATGGCCATTAGGCTGGCAAAGGAAAGATTTTAGTCTAAGGGTACCGAAGATGCTGTCCAGATATGCCCAAGGTATCCTCTGTGGGACAGAAGGTGTGACCCAGGAATAGGTCTTGGTAAAGGCCTTACCTGGGATTGACTTGACTCACAGGAATGTTGAGTCGTGCTGCAATGTCCTCCACAGTCTCGTTACCCTCTGATATAATGCCCACACCTTTGGCAATGGCCTTGGCTGTGATAGGGTGGTCCCCAGTCACCATGATCACCTAATAGGAGGAAGACAGAAAAAGAAAGCAGTGTTGATTTCCCCCCTCCCATTCCTTTCCCCAAATCATGTAAAGTTAGACTAGTAGATGTCTGAGGCTGGTGAATCCCAGCCAGAACACGGAGGTGTGTGTGTGTGTGTGTGTGTGTGTGTGTGTGTGTGTGTGTGTGTGTGTGTGTGTGTCCTCTACTCTCTTTGAGACGAGATCTTGAGTTATGTAGCCCAAGCTGGCCTCAAACTTGCAGGATCCTCTTGCCCTCTTGCCTGTGCCTGTCAAGTGCTGGGATTATAAGCATACATTACCATGCCTGGGTTGTCTGGGAAATTTCTTTAGGAGTTTGGCTATGTGGGAAATGAGGCAGTCAGAAGTGGATGGGTACATCCCCTAACAGCTCTTCCCCTTTTCCTCCTCCTCCTTTTATTATTTTATGTGTATGGGTGTTTTGTCTGTCTGTGTGTCTGTGTACCACATATGCACCTGGTGCCTTGGACACCAGAAGAGGGCATCCAATACCGTGAATGGTTATGAGCTGCCATGTGAGTCCTCTGAAAGAGCATCCTGTGAGTGATCTTAACTGCTGGGCCAGTCTCCAACCTTTAACTGCTCCCTCTGAATATAGTGAAGGAGATCAGTTTTGTGAGCATTCATGATTTCTTCAAGGTCACAGGGACCCAGTCCTGACCCTCTTTCTTGAACTCTAACTATATTGCAACTGTCCCTCTATAGCCTCTCTCTCTCTCTCTCTCTCTCTCTCTCTCTCTCTCGTGTGTGTGTGTGTGTGTGTGTGTGTGTGTGTGTGTGTGTGTGTGTGTATGTGTGTTTCTTACAGATGCTTTAAACTTAAGGTCCATGCTATACTTCTCTCTGTACTCCCTGTACCCCCCCACCTCCAGCTCCTCTCTTCTTAGATATCATCTGCTCTATTCACTCTGTCCTGTTCTCTTCTGCATCTTCCTACCCCATGCCCAGCTTGCTCACCAAGTTCTCAAGAATGCTTCTCAAGTGCAATTATGTGTCTTCACTGCCTTTGTCTCTGTGTTCAGATCTTTATCCCTTCTTGGGCAATTAATCGTGCACTTTCAATCTGTCTCCCTATTCCCAATTTCATCTTTCCCCCAAATCTAGTCCCTCCTCCATTAGGTAGCCTTAAAGTAGCCACAGTTATGGCCTTCCGAGGCACACAGGTTAAGGCTCAAGTCTGGCATTTAAAGGAAATCCTTCCAACTGGCCTTGACTCAATGTTTCCGTCCCAATTCCCACTGCTCCTTGCCATCTCTCCCCTGTTGACCCATACACCTCCACCCCCTGATAGTGTGGGCATGTCCGGGCACGAACTGTTCCCTGAGCTTGCCATGCCTCCCTTCCTTTATAGCCTGCTGAATCCTCTTCAGCCTTCAAGGCCCAGGTCAAATATCATCCCTTCTGTTAAACCCTGTCTAGTTCTCAGAGGCAGAATTAACAGCTCCTGGTTGAGTTGTCCATAGAGTCCTTGCCCAGCCTCTGTGCTATTTCTCCTCATGCCGAGAGGCACCTGACTGGGCAGAAAGAAGGAGTGTGGCTTCCAGACAAGCCAACTGTGCTTTGTAATCCCAGGTCACCTCTTACCAACAGTTCTATTTTGGGGAAACTATTTACCTACTCTGAGTTTCTATGTGTTTGTGTATTACAGTGGGGGTAATAATGCCTACTTTCCATTCTGAGTGGTTATTGTGGTCAAAACTGATATACACACACAGTACCAAGATTTCTGGTGTGGTGGTTAAGAAATAGACTGCCTTGTCCCAAATTCTGACTTTACAACTTACTATCTATGTGGTCTTGGGCTTGCTATTCTGTGCCTCAGTTTCTCTGTAACAGGGAAGATACTTGTGCTTACCCAGAAGGCCACCATTCTTAATGTTTACAGCAGTGTCTGGTGCATATAAAAAAATTAAGATAACTTATCGTTGGGGCATCTAAACAATAGATACTCAATTACCTCAACTCTTTTGTTTTGTTTTTTTTTAGGGTTTCTCTGTGTAGCATTGTATACCAGGCTGGCCTTGAACTTAGAGATTCCATCTGCCTCTGCCTCCAGAGTGCTGGGATTAAGACTGTCCTATGATATGTTTAGAAGCATCTGCCTCTGTGAGAGATCTTGAGATGTGGAGGCCAGGCCCAGTTTCTATTCACCTTTATGCTCCCAGTGGGCTACAAAGACTTGGCTCTCAGGGAGCAAGTTGAATTGCATTGTTCAAAAAAAAAAAAAAAAAAAAAAAAAAAAAGAAGAGCAACAGACGGCACCAACAGAACTGGTGAACAGAAAAAGAGGATGTCAGGGACCCGTCTTGGAAATAGGGAACTGAGTTACTGGATACTTGGTTGGTTTATTAAACAACTTGGCACTTTACATGGTGCCCAATGCACAGTTGGTAACAATAAATATTTGCTGAATGAAGAACAAGCCAAACAAATGAGATAGAATGTTCAGTGAGAAGTGGTTGTGGTTGGTCAAGAACTCAGTGGGGAGTCATGGGTGAGTGAGGAGAATATGGAGTGATATGGGGAGACCGTTGGGGCAGACGAGAGTTTACTAGTCCCCATGCCAAATGGATAGACTGAGCAGTAGGGCAGTCAGATAACCAAGTAGCCATGATGGGAGTGCCAGCTGGTGCTTAGAATGAGGAGGGAAGGGTGCACATGCAGGTGGGGCAGTGAGCTGGGCTAGAGGACAGGCATGGGCAGAAGGAAGAAGCAGGAGCTCTCGCCAGGCACGCACTTTTCTCTGAAGATGGACAGTTTCTCTGTGTCAGTGGGAAGGAGGCCACCAGGAGCCCGTGTCTCCTCAGGACACAGCTGCCGTGGCCCCTTGACCTCTGGCAGGTGGACAGGCATACAAGGACAGAGGAGGGGGATGGGAGAGAGGCCAGTACCTTGATGCCTGCACTTCGGCATTTGCCCACAGCATCTGGCACAGCTGCCCTGGGTGGGTCAATCATAGACATGAGCCCCACAAAACAGAGCTTCTCGGTGGGAAAGTTCAGCTCATCTGTGTCAAATTTAAAGCCCCGAGGAAACTTCCCAGAAGGCAGGTTCAGCTGACAGAAGCCTGAGGAGGACAGGGGACAGTGAGAGAAGCAGAGTGGCTACCTGGCGGCCTCCAGGACCCTCGTGCTAGGGACACGACCAAGGCTCAGGACAGTCCTTCTCAACCCTGCCCCCTTACCTAGCACACGCTCCCCGAGTCCTCCCAGCTCCATGTAGGCGTTTTGAAAGGCATCTTGCATCTCCTTGTCCAGAGGGATCTCCTTGCCCTGTACCAGGATGGTAGAGCATCGGTCCAGGATGCGCTCTGGGGCTCCTTTCATCACCAGCACATGGCTCTGGGGGCTGTCTTCTCTCTCATGGATGGACAGCTGGAGAGGAGAAAGGCGGTCGGTCACAGGGGAGACACGATATCCTGGTGGGTTAGCACAGGATCTGAGAGGAAGCAGCTTCTGAGAAGGAATAGCATAACTCGTTTGTTCCTTAACGTAACTCTGATCCATCAAAGAGTGTCACAAAGGAGAAAGTATGCCTGGAGGGTGTTTGCGTATAGTCCCAAGTCTTAAAATCTGAGAGTCACTTCCATAGGACAGTGACTCATTTGACAAATAAGTATTAGGATCATTTAGGGCAGGCGTTGTGCTAGGGGCTGGTTGGATGGTTTTCATTATCACCCCACCCCCATTCCCCAGTGACCCAGGAACTTTACCTCCAATGGTGCATGCAGAGTAGAGCTGAGACTATTTTTGGCATTAACAGACACCTAAATACTGAGGGATGCAGTATAGGAATTAATGGAAGTGTGCTTTAGTTATATGGATGGCAGTGTTGGAGGACCATTGCCAGTGCATGGAAATGGGGGCTATCGGAAGAGGAGAGGAGACGGTGACAGGTTGCCAATCAGAGGATGATGGCAAGCATGCATGTAGCCAGGCCCTTTGTTGGCTCACTTTCTCCTATTGAGGCTCTGTTCACTCACTCTCCTCATTTTTGTCCCTCTTTCTTTAAGTGTCCCAGCAGCCCAGCCAGACCTGATATTTGTTGGTAGAGTTGAAGGGAATTTCTGCCACTTTCGGGTTCCTGTCCCTCATCTTCCTCACTGAGCCACAGGACAACTCAATGCATTTGAGCAGCGCTGACTCAGAGGCATCACCAGCTGTGTCCCGCTGCCAGAAGAAAATAGAATTCAGTGTCACAGTGGCAGGAGGGAAGGCAGTGGAGGATGGGAGAGACAGAGCACCAACGGAGGTCACTGAAGGCAGCTACAGGATGTGAGAGGGAAAGCTGGGCATCAGCAAGGGGGCTTGGGGGACATTCCCCTAACACATCTGTGTCTGTACTCACTGATTGACCCCCTACCTTAGACACAGAGATGTTCTCCTGCCCAGCCTTGAAGACAGCCCGATTGCAGAGACCAGCAATCCGAGACAGGGCTGTCCATGTCGGGGACCGTTTGTCAAAAGTAGCCCCTGGGAAGAAACAAGAGAGAAGCTTGGCTCCCTGTTCGAGTGTCCTCACACCTTTGTCCCCCTCTTCTGCCAGGAATCAGCACTAGCTACTTCCCTACACCCTTTCTGGAGCACCCAATCACCGGACTGATCCTCAGTGGTGTCAGCCTCGTGGATCTGGTTGTCGAACCACATGTGGGCCACCGTCATGCGGTTCTGGGTGAGGGTGCCCGTCTTGTCGGAGCAGATGGTGGATGTGGAGCCCAGGGTCTCTACCGCCTCCAGATTCTTCACCAGGCAGTTCTTCCGAGCCATGCGCTTGGCTGTCAGTGTCAGGCACACCTGGTACACAGACAGGAGAATAGAAAGATCCAAGTCTAGAGTGCCAGGTGTCCATGGCCAATTGCTATCCTGAAGCTCTGTTCTTTTTTCTTTAATCCTACTTACAAATAAGATTGGGTGGGACCGAGCAGTAAATAGTGACAGTTCAACATGAGGCACGTTGAACTGGTTCCTAAGTGCATTAGTAGTAAATGCCCAGCAGAGTTGAACATATGACTCTATAGCAGACACAAAGATGTGAGAGCCACCGACACAGAAGGGACAACAGAAGAAAATGGATTTCTTTGTGGGCAACAAAGAGGAAAATAGAGAGGGTCTGGGGCTTGACAGCCATTGAGTGTCTGTGAGGATACAGGACAGGAGAACCAGGATGGTGACACATCACAGTAGCTGATGAAGGACAGAGTGCAAGAGGGTGGACAGGCGTATCCATTTCAGTAGCAGAGTTAAGGATGAGAGCTGAGAAATATCACTGGATTTGCTAGTTAGTCACTGGTGACCTTTGAAAGAGTCTTTATAGCAAGTGAGACAGGATGAACCCCAGACTGCATCGGGAGACAAGCACACAGATGGTGAGGATCATGACCATAACAAGCCCCCCAAGAGAAGCTGAATGCTCAGACACAGCTCAACCTCCAAATTTTCAAGTTAAAATGTGCGCCTTGGAAGGCACACATTAAACAATTTCTGCGTACAGCGTCTGCTATGTGCCTGCAGGGACTTGAAGGGAAGAACATTGCTGAAAAGCAATAAGCAACTGTGTTTGCATCAAATGGGGAGAAGGACAAGGACAGCACTTCGGCCTGATCCACTCACAGTAACAGTGGCCAAGAGCCCTTCAGGCACGTTGGCTACGATGATGCCGATGAGGAAGATGACTGCCTCCAGCCAGCTGTAGCCCAGGATGAGGGACAGCACGAAGAAAGAGACCCCCAGGAACACTGCCACTCCTGTGATCAGCTGGATGAAGTGCTCAATTTCCATGGCTATGGGCGTCTGCCCCACCTCTAGGCCAGAGGCGAGGGTGGCTATGCGGCCCATCACTGTCCGGTCACCTGTGGCAATCACAATGCCCCTGGCAGTGCCTGCAATAGAGGAAAGGACAGAGAATGTTTGCTAAGGAAATAAAACCATCACAGACTAAATAAGCCAAAGACTAACCCTGGAGGCTACTTTTAGTAAACCAGGCTTACCCTCCCTGCCTAGATCACCAATCTCAGACTTAAACCTTTTCTATTTGGGCCTGAGACGACATCTTGCAAGTAATACTAAAGTTCAAATTGAAGAGATTCAATAAATGAAATAAAAATTGCCTGCAATATTTCAGCAATCAATCTTATTCTAGACATTTTTCAAGAGCATGTTATAAACAGAAGGAAAGTACTTATTGATTTGGGGGGAAGGGGTTGGACTTAAGATTTTCTTGGACCGGCAAGATAGTTCAGTGTGTAAGGGCTCTACCTGCTATTCTCGATGACCTGAGTTCAGTCTCTGGAGCCCATATGGTGGAGGACAGAAAGAACCAAGTCCTGAAAGTCTTTCATGTGTATACTGTGGCAAGAGTGTGCTCACTTACACACACACACCACACACACAACACACATACCACACACACACACACACACACAACGCACACTCACGCATACACATGCACAATAATAATTACAAGAATTTTTTTTGAGACAGGGTTTCCCTGTATTGCTTTGAAGTTTGTCCTGGAACTAGCTCTGTAGACCAGGCTGGCCTCAAACTCACAAGAGATCCACCTGCCTCTGCCTCCCAAATGCCAGGATTAAAGGCGTGAGCCACCAATGCCTGTCCAGAGATTTTTAATTAAAAAAAAAAAAAAAAGATCCCAGTATTAGGTATGAATCTCTATAAAGGAAGTTAGGTAATCAATCATTCGCCATGTGTGACATTACAGGGGTCTTAGGGAAAGGAAGTGTGATGTGTGGGGACAGCATGCACATTGAATGCCTGTTTGAATGCCTACCTAGGGGCCAGTAGTCAAATGGAATGACTGTGTGAAGCACTTTGACTTGTGCCTGTCTCATAGCAGGCACACAACCAATGTGACTTCCGCTCATATCCTCTCCTCTCTTTGGAGCTAGCTGCTGAATAAGCAATATGAACACCTTATCTGACCCTTCAAATACATTCCGTTATGGGAAATGTATGATAAATCAGAATCTCAGTACATTAAAAATTTAGGAAATTTAATGTGTAGTGATTTTTATTGTAATTCCAATTCTCTGAAGGAGGGAACCAAGCCCAAAGAACCAATATATGGAGTAGAAAGAGTATCAGGGAAAGAAAAGTATGGAGTTGGGATGCAAAAAGCCATTCTTTATCCCCATGTGAGAGAGGTCCATGGTCTAGGAAGCCTCTCTCTTGCCACCTCCTACCCACAGACTCTTTCCCAGAGCCAGCCCTGCCTGAGCTCCCTAGCTGGACCATAGAGTATGGGTTGCAGTTGTGCTTAGCTCCTATTCTTATGTGGTAAGAGATCCCAGAGCTCTCATTCGCCACCAGCGTTCATTGCTAGAACCCAGAACTGAGATGGGACAGCCAGGGCAGACAGCACATTATGAGAATTTTCTTTTCATCATGGCCTACATGGATGATGCAGCCTGAAGGAGGGCCTGATTTTCACCGGAAAGTTTTCCTGACCCAGACTGAGCCTCCAGTTTCTAATCAAGAGATGAGGAAGGAAGAAATTGGCCCAGAACTGGTCTAGAAGACATCACATGACTCCCCACATTTCTAAGAGTCAAGGCTGTGTGTGGGATGCATCTTGACCCAGCATCTGAAAGTTTTGTGGGAGGCTTTCAGTCTGGGGATGGGTAGAACAGAGAGCTTCTTGAGGAGAGGTGACTTCCAACAGAGTCAGTCTGCCCTTGGCCAATGCCTGCTCTCCAGAGATGACTATTTCTGCAATTCTCAGGGCCCTGTTCCCTCAATGCCCTTTACATACAGAGCTTTTGCCAAGTAAGTACAGCTTCAGGAGTTAGACCCTTCCCTGCACTGTGCTGGGATGACATGCGTTCTTGGGAGGCTAGCTTCTCACCTTCCACGCAGTTGGTAGAGAAGAAACAGATATTGCGGGTCTCCAGTGGGTTCTCATGGGTGAACTCAGGGGAACGGGTCTGGGGCTCCGACTCCCCTGTTAGGGACGAGTTATCCACCTGAGGAGGAAGGGGCGTGGTCATCAGACTGGCAGCAGTAGTGCTGTGTGAGCACAGCTGTCTCCTGAGCCAGATCCAACCACCCTCAGTCTTCATGACAACAGGGACAAAATTACACTTGCCCTCATCACATATTTATGGCATTACTCAGCTATTGCTCCTTCTTTGGTGTGGATGACTGACTGTTCCTGACTTTTATGTGTCTTTGGGTTATTTACTTAACCCACAAGGCCTTCATTTGTCCACCTGTAAAGTGGGGAATGTAAACAAGATCATCGTGTTGCACAACTCCAGAAGTACCACCAACAAGGCTGTCTGTGAAAATGCTGCCTCCTGGGGTTGCTCAAGCTGCAACATACAGCTGCCTTCATGTTTACATCATCTTTCCCCAGACACCTCTTTGTGTAGCCAGGCTGGGCTGACTTTGAACTCCCCATCCTCCCGCTTCCACTCTCTACCTGCAGAGAACTAAGATTACAGGTGTGAAGACCCAGCTCCTTCATCTTTATTTCCTTGAATTTTTATTTATGTATTATCCCTGGCTCTCTGTAGGCCAGGCTGGTCTGGAATCTTTCAGAGTGAAATTGGGCAGAGTATGTATGGCTTCTGTTACATAAATGTTATTCCATATACAATGGCTATAAAGTGGCTGGATCAAAGAAATCCCAGGGCATAGAGCATTCCTAGCACAGAAACACAGAGGTAGCATGTAGCTATCATATACTGGAAGGGGGTTGAGTTGGGAGGTGCAGAGGAGACTCAATGTTTGCAATTGAGTTTCTTTTAAACTCTCAAGAGGGCCTCTTTTGACTCTATACAGACCCAACTAGTTGCTCTTGGCAACCTCCTCACCTTGCAGCCATGGGAAGAGATGATCCGGAGGTCAGCAGGGACGCGGTCCCCACCCTTCACTTCTACTAGGTCTCCTACCACCACCTCCTCCGCATTGATCTGCATCTTCTCTCCCTCTCGGATAACCAGAGCTTGCTGTGGAAAGGCCAGGAGCACCTCATGAAACACTTGTTTCCGCCTTTGCTCTCAATCTGTTGCTCCCCCTCCAAAGGAGGAGAAGAAACCCCTACAGCTTCAGCAACAAAACTTGTTTCTGGTGTGGAGAGCTGAAAAGGCTATTTTCTGTCCATCTTTCTTCTACCTCAAGACGGTAAGAGGTGAGCCATCTCAGAAACCTTATGCCCCAAGCTGGATGGAGCCAGTCCCTGGCATCTACCTGAGGCACCATGTTCTTGAAGGAGTCCATGATCTTGGAGCTCTTGGCTTCCTGGTAGTAGGAGAAGCAGCCGGTGACGATGACTACAGCTGCTAGCACGATACCTAGGTATAACTGGTAAGGAGAAAGGGTTCAAAGGACCTGCCATTTCTCACCACTTGGGATGAGCACTCAGAGTCATCCCATGTGGGATTTCCCCAGCCTTCGTCTGAGTCCAGGCGTGAGAATGACATAAGTCTTTCTCTCCAGCCTCCCCAGTCTAACTCATATTCCTAGCATGGAAGAAGCAAAGAAATGAGTTCCCATGACTGAGGCTTTTCTGCAGACCAGCCTCTTTTAGTGGAATGAGTTTGGAGGAATCATCTCTCATCACTGACTGTATGTGTTGGAGGATGCTCCACAGGTTATGTACAGAAGCCTCACCTCTCTTCATCCTGAGGTACTGGGACTGTGATCTCTTGTCCCCGAGCCCTCCCTTTCACCTTAATTGGATTTGAGAGTTGGAGCACAGAGGCATTGGCTGTCCAGGGGTTGGGTGCGTGGCTCACATTATCATTGGATGGTTCGTCCTCCATGGCCGCCAGGATACCATAGGCGAGGAAGCAGAGGAGGGCCCCGATCCAAAGAAGGATAGAGAAGCCCCCAAAAAGCTGACGGCAGAACTTGACCCACTCAGGAGTTGTCGGGGGTGGCGTGAGGGCATTGGGTCCATCCCGAGCCAGAATGTCCTGAGCGCGCTGGTTGGTGAGGCCCTAGAGAGTGAGAAAAGGGGTGGGAGGAGTGGGTGTACGGAACAAACCTGACCCTCACCACATCTCTCAGCGTGGTGGAGAATAATGTGCAGCTGGGGGGGGGATTACCCTGTGGTTGGAAGGGGTGGGAACGTCAGGAGGGACCACACAGAGAAACTAGTGTCTATAAATGGGACTTGCGCCTTGAGGCTAGAAAGACTCTTCACTGTAGCCCCGCCTTTGGTTATTCTTGGGTTGAAACATATTTTTGTTGGGACAGCAAGGATAAGCACACCGGAAAGATTCCTTGTCAGACCACCCTCGTGTCTTCCTGCAGATCCTTCCTTTCTCCAGGGCTCCAGGGAAAGACCCTGCCCCTCGCACAGCTTTGCCCCTTCGTGTCATGTGACCTATCACTTTCCAAAGAAAACCTAGCCAAGCTCACTATTCTTTAGGCACCAGGCTAGACCAAAGGCCATTTTCCGGATCCAGGTAGCCCCCCATGCTTGATTCTAGTGTGGTGCTTACTAGGTTGCCCTGGAATTCTGTTTGTGTGGTTTTTGTTTTTAAATTTTGTTGTTACTGACTTTGAGGAGGATTCTCTTGTTAACTCCATGTCATTCATTCACCTACTTTATATATAAACATTGAGCCTGACTACATGCCCAGCACTGGGAAGGATCTAGAGACAGGCAAGCTCAACAAAGCTCCACCCACAATCTAAATGGGAAACTTGCATAATCATAGAAAATAATGTTAAAAAATGGGAGCATAGCGGGCCGCTAGTGCCACATGCCTTTAATCCCAGCACTGGGGAGGCAGAGGCAGGTGACTCTCTGTGAGTTCCAGGCCAGCTTGATCTACAGAGTGAGTTCCAGGACAGGTTCCAAAGCTACACAGAGAAACCCTGTCTCAAAAAAACAAAAAACAAACAAAAAACAAACAACAACAAAAAAAAACAAAACAACAAAAATAATGGGCATATAGCAGTTTAGGAACAGAGACAGAAAGTAATGTGCCAGGGGTATTATCAACGTAGTTTTTGTTGTTGTTGTTGCTTTTTGTCTTTTGTTTTTTAAGACAAGGTATTATTCTAGCTTGGAAGTGACTTTATAGCCCAAGCTGGCCTTGAACTTGTGGCTGGCTTTACATTGTTTTCCTTTGTTTGAGCCAGGATTTCAATATTTTGTCTAGGATGGTCTTGAATTGTTGGGCCCAAGTGTTCTTTCTGCTAAGAACCTAGGGCTACAGTTGACCACCATAGCACTTATACATACATACATACACACACACACACACACACACACACACACACACACAATTTTAAACTAAGGATTGAATTTAGGGCATCACACAAGCTACACGGCACTCTGACTATTTAAACTACATGCATAGCCCTCTTTGATTTAGTTTTATGACAGGGACTCTTAAGTTGTCTACTCTAGCCTTGAACTTACAATCTTCCTGCCTCGGCCTCCTAAATAGCTGGGGTTACAGGTGTGTGCCAGTGCACCTAGCTTAGAGGAACAATTTAAAATATTTTTAAATGATGGGTTTGGCAATCTGGCTGTGGCCTGTGTTCATTTACATAACCTAGCTCATCCAAGGACAGGAGACATTCATCCTGGAGAAGGGAGAAAGGAGGCTGAACACACTTTGGGGCACAGGATTAAGTGAGGGGTGTCGGCCTGGGGGCTTGGGTACAAATTCAGCAAGTAATTTTCCCTGATTCTCCTTGCTTTAATAAACAGGCTGACCATGCCTGACAGAGCTAGGGTGAGGATTAAAGAAATGGCCAAGCTGCCTCTGATTACAGAGCCACTGATGCAGGGGGAGCCAGCAAGTACTATCACAACAGGGATGAGTCACCTTGCTGGCCCATGTCTGTCATCTCTGAGAGCAGCTGCTTGAGGCAAAGCACAGAGCCTTGCCAGGATCTGAGTCCTGGGTTCCAAGGGATTCTAGCTTCCAGACACACAGGGAAAGAGGGGGGAAACAGGGGGCCTAAAGTCTATTTCTGACTGTGCCACCAACTGATCCCATGAGCTCTCATCCCTGGGCTGCTTCCCTCACCTGCAAAGGGCGTTGTGTTCTAGTGTTGACTCCCCCACCTAAAGCTGCCTCTCTCACCTCGCGGCTCCACTCACCTTGGACAGATCCACTTGGTATTTTCGGCCCAGCTCATCCAAGGACAACTTGTGGTCATCCTGGGGAAGGGGAAATGCGGACACTTTGAGAAAGGAGGCTGGGCACACACTGGATGGGGACACTTTGGGAAGGGAGGCTGGGCACACACTGGGGGCACAGAATTAAGTGAGGAGCATGCGCCTGAGTACAAAGCTTCTTTGGCTGCCCGGTGGCTGCTGGTGTGTGACTGTCGGAGCAAGCAGAGCTGTTCCTGCATGGCCCTGATGAAAGCAACGTGGTCCTTACCATGGCAACCTCCTTCTTTAACTCATCGAGCTCCTTCTCTTTCTGTTTCTTCTTGCCACCCCCATTCTCCGCAGTGGTGGCGGCAGGCGAGTACTCACGCCCTGCCTGCAAAAGGAAGGGAGGACACAGAGGATCAGGGAGACTGTCTGGGGCCTGTTCCCACCAGCCATGGAGGATGTCCCAGCATGGGAATCGGGGTGGTGGGGGAGAATGGAAGCAGTAGGTGGAAGAGCCCGGCAGAGCCGTGAGGACCCCCACATTTGAATCTGTTTACTATGCGATATGGGATTCTGCCAGATAAAAAAAGAAAACACATAAACAATTTAAAAAACATGATCCTATGTTATTTGAGAGAATCCTGGGATTGGACAGGGATTGTGTTGATGGGTAGGGTATCCTGTGGGAATGTCTTTGCCTAGTTTAGAGAGGAATCCTGGGAAACCAAGAGAAGCAGGCGTGGTGGTGGGAATGGAATGGGCAGGGATGAGGGACTGGAAGATGCTAATGGTAACAGATTCAAGTCTGTCTATAAAGTGGGAGCCCAGGGTATGCTGAGAGCCCTCACCAGCCTGCTGGGCAGGCTTACCTGGAACTGGACAAAGGCAACTCACAGACCTGTAAACCCAAAGCACAGCTGAGTTCCCTTTGTCAAGAAGTGTTGCAGGGGTTGTGGAGGGGTTGGGGAGTAGGGGATGGTGCACGCCTTTAATCCCAGCACTTGGGAGGCAGGGTCAGACAGATTTCTGTGAGTATGAGGTCTACAGAGTGAGTTCCAGGACAGTCAGAGCTACACAGAAAAAAAAAAAAAAAAAACAAAAGTCTTTAAAAAGTAAAAACAACGCAAAATAAAAAGCAAAAGAAAGAAAAAGAAATGTATATGAGAGTAAATAGAGAACTGAGATCATTTCAAAGTTATGATCCGTCTTGGGCTTCTGTCCAGGTTAGCTGGGTGTTTTGTTTTATTTATTTATTTGTTTGTTTTTTTCAAGACAGGGTTTCTTCTTGTAACAGCCCTGGCTGTGCTGGAACTTACTTTGTAGACCAGGCTGGCCTCCAACTCACAGAGATCTGCCTGCCTCTGCCTCTTGAGTGCTGGGATTAAAGGCGTGTGTCACCAAGTCCGTGATTTTGATAGTGATCTTTGAGATACCCATTTACCCTTATCTTCTGGGCTACTGCGGGCTTTCAGAGTCTCATAGGGGCCTCTTGAGGGAGATGGTGGGGATTCTTCATTCAGATGGAGGCAGCCTTGGAGGAATGGGTTAGGAGAGGGCTAGGAAAGGCCAGGGGCATTATGTATAGATAGTGTGAAAAGTACTGTCATCTCCTTCCATGGCTCTCCATCTCCCTCAGGATACAGGAGGTTGATAACTTTCTGGCTTTTCTATGGATACTGAAGGCTACATTGAGCTTTAGAAGTGGGTTTTGCTACTTCATGGTTATGACTGGTGTTTTCCATAAAGAATAGTTACCTGGTAGAAACATTAGCCTGTGCGTTTTTTGTTTGTTTTGTTTTTCAAGATTATGCATTTGTAGGGTGGGGTTCATTTTCTTTTCTTTTTAAAGCATTTGTTTAGCTGACTAAGTAGAAAGTAGAGGAAGTACTCATGAATCTCTTACCCCTACACTTGGACAGCCTCCCTCCCTATCAGCATCCCATGTTGCTGGAGTAGTACATTGTTTCCTCGCTGCCTCTCAGTGGCCATAGCTGTAATGCTGGCGGTGTTTGTTCTGTGGATTTAGGCAGATGTCTATCAGTGTGGATTTCCTGTTTCTCTAGCATGTGGCTGTGCCATCCTGAGTCCTAAGTGCTCCTGGATAATGTATTTTCACTCATCAGAGTTAGAGCGAACCTGGGGAATATGACAGCTGCTGTGATCATAAGAAACCTTACAAACTTAGTACCCTGAGTAACAGAATTCTTCCCAGTGATGGACACTTGTTCCAGGATTCAAGGACCTAGGCAGAAGGAGGTGTGTGTGCTCTTGGAGGCTGTGTTGCTCAGATATTCTCCATGTAGAAAGGGTGACCAATAATACATCATGCTCTCTTCTCTATCTGAAATACCTATGAATCCAGTCCAGTCTTGATCTTCTGAAGGCCAAGCATCCTGGGGAGACTGAAGTGGCCATCAGCAGAGTAGAGAAGGACTGAGAGGTAATCTACCCCTCCCTTCCTCAGGTTATGCAAGAGGCTTCCTTTATTGTTTGGATTGAGAGGCTTTGGTCTCTTTGGTGAGGCAGGGCTGAGTAAAGGATGGGAAACCACAAAAGGACCAAATGCAAGAAAGCAATCTGGACAGCTGTCAGTGTGATCCTTGGAGGCTTCAGGGATGGGGGCCTCCCTCCAGGAAAGGCATGTGTTGGGGGCCAACGAGCAGAGCCCAGGGTTATCTGCACATTTGGTGTAAAATAAAATATGTGAAAATAAGGGTCAAATGCCCTCTTCTGGAGGTGGGAATGGTGGCATGCACACCTGCATTCCCACAATTCAGGAGGTGGGGGCAGGAGGATTGCAAGTCCAGCCTGGGCTACATAGTGAGATCCTATCTCAAACAAATAAACAAATGCATGTTTCTGGAGGGAAAAATGTGCTGGCTCTTGCATGTTGGTATGTTGGATTGTGCCTGAGCTAAACAACTCCATGTGGTGTGCACCCCCCTCCCTCCATTATCCCTTAAGTGCAAAGCTTGGAACACACTGCCCTTCCCCCTCCTCCTGCCCTGGCAAGGATCTCAGGCTCCACAGCCAGGAGCCTGCCGAGATTTGGGGCCAGTGGCTGCCCAGGGAAGAAAGAAAGAGGAAGCGGTGACCCTCCCTCTCCCTCCCTGCTCTTCCCTCCCTCCCCTAGCCCAAGTCCCTCTCTTTGGGTCTTGAATGCTAAAGGAGAACAGAGAGTTCTTTTTGAGAAAGCTAGAGTCTGGGACAGAGTGGGGGTAGCTGGAAATCAACCAACGATCCCTGCACCCCCACCCCCACCTCAGCCTCTGGCTCCTTCCCACCAGTGTGATTTCTTCCCTCAACTCCCACACTGCCTTTCACAGCCACACAGTGATCGGCTGGAGTGGAGGCAAAGCAGGCCACAGAGTGGACTGTGGAGAACGGGAGTTTGTGTTCTGCTGGGCCTCCCTGGTAGGTAGGACTCTGAGCTCCCAACCTTAAGGTCCCAAACTTAACCCGGCTTTTCAAACCAAGGAGACCAGACCAACGGCAGCCTCACTCAGAGCCACTAGGTTAGGGGTACCACAGGTTATAGACCCAGCAAGGGTGCTGGGGGGAAGTTCCGAATGGGGAAATTCAAGGTCAAATTGCTTTTCATTTATTTCTTCCTTCCTTTCTTTTTATATGTATTTATTTATTTTTGAGACAAGGTTTCTCTGTAGTTTTGGAGCCTGTCCTGGAACTTGCTCTGTAGATCGGGCTGGTCTTGAACTTACAGAGATCCTTCTACCTCTGCCTTTCGAGTGCTGGGATTAAAGGCATATGCCATCACCACCCCACTCAAATTGCTTTTCAAGTAGAAAGAACTCTGTGAGTTAGGTCCACCCTGCTGTAAGGTAGAGTGGGGGGTGGGAGGCATCCTCCCTCTCTGACCTGCTTGGCCCTGGCCTTTCAGAGGTTCTGCGTCTCAGCTGGACCTTCTTTCCCTCTCTGTGGGGAGCAGGAGATACCCAGCTATTGCTGAAGGTCCCAGGACAGTATGCCTTCCTATGACTGTGACCATTTACTCAGGGAAACCCATTGCCCATAGATAGCCCTCACTCCCACTCCATCTATGCCCCTGAGAGCACAAAGGCTGTTCATTTGCAAATTCACCTGCTGAAACATAGTGTGAATTTAGTTATGAATGCCTGTAGCACTACCAGCTTACTGGGAGCACAGGGGTGTGAGATTGTGGGTACATATACACATGTACACACACACACACACACACACACACACACACACACACACACACACGTAAGCACAGTACTCTTCTATTTCCAGTTCCCACCCTAACTCTGGAAACCTGGTGGCCAGGCGCAGAGTTTCTCCAGCTGTTGAGCTGAGCCCAACAACATGTCCTCGCCTGACTCCTCCTTGGGCCCAGAAATTGGCCCTCAGCACCCTGTGGCACTGTCTCCCTCACATTTTGCAATGCGTTGTCAATTCCTTTCCCTCCATGCCCTCTTTTGCCAGAATTCCACAAAAGGAGAGCGGCCAAGGGCGCGGTATGTAAAGGGATTGGGTCACTTTTCTTCATATGGGAATTTCATTTCCAAGAATTGGGAACCTTGTCCTTGCTCTCACAGACATGGCTATCAATCTTTTCATTGGCAAATCCATTGCTTCAGGATGCCATGGGCATGGACAGTTCTCACCAGCCTTTGGAAAGGTCCCCGAAGCCTATAACCAGGAGCTGAGGACAGTGTTTCTGGGAACATCCGGACGGGTGCTGGGGTGAGGGTTGGGGATAGATCCCTGCTCTCCCTCTCAGCTGACACTGGCATGCAGGGCTCTTGGAGTTAGTGTAGCAAACTGCTTGGTGGCTCTGAGAGTGGGGTGTTCCACAGCTGCTTTGCAACCTCAGGCTGGCCCCTGTCCTCTTTGGCTAGGACCTCAGAGGAATAGATACTTTCAGTGGGTAACAGGGGCAGGTGAGAACTGACAATACCAAATATCTCTTCAGCTGAGAGGCCAGGAACTGTGGTGAGATCGGAGGGATTTGGAGAGAAGAGATGAGGGGATGGAGTGCAGGGAGATGTAGAAGGGCACTTGGGTAGCTTCTGGGCTAGTTGTGGGGGAGGAGGAGGCCAGGGTGGCTGCAAAAGAGGATAGTACTTGGGCTAGCACTGTGGAATCCACAGTGCAGCTGGGAGACTAGTTCCAAGTTCAAACCACCCCACTCGGTCAGCGTCTCTCACCATCCCTCCACATCCCATTCCCACCCACCCCTTCTCCATTGTCTTCCTCACCCTCCAGAGAGTGGCCCCTGATCTTTGGGGATACTCACCCCACGACCCATCTTGGGGTAGAGTGGCTGAGGGGACCTAGGCTGAAAAGGTCACCAGGAGGATCCCAAGACCACACCGCCTGTCTGAGGCAGCTGGAGACCCTGGCAGACAGACAGAGACAGCCTGAGCAACAGGGTAGCTTTAAATAGGTCCCTCTCCCCCTCACCCCCGCCTTCCCCTTCTCGGGGGAAAGAAACGTTTGTTGAAACTGGATCCCTGAGGACTCCTCCCCTCCCTCCCCTTCAGCTACTGGCCCAGCTGATGGTCCTGTTTTGGCTTGTGTCCCCCTCAGCTACCCTCAGCGCTTTCCTATCCCATGGTGGCAGCTACAACAGCTACAACAGAGAGAGAGAGAGAGAGAGAGAGAGAGAGAGAGAGAGAGAGAGAGAGAGAGAAGCAAGGAAGCAAGGGGAAAGAGATGGGGAGGGGGCGGTTAGCAGGAGGAAAAGATATGGCCCCTAGGGAGGAGGCATTTGCTCAGGGTCCTAGGATGCCAGAGGTCTTGTGGACTAACTACCTATATTTTCAAGTGAGGAAGCTGAGGTGATAAGAATTCGGCAATCTGAGTAGATAAGACAGAAGCAGAATCTCCCAATTCCACATCCACTTTCCCAGAAAAAAAGCAACAGTCAGGTCCCTCTGCTACTGAAGCTGCATGGACACTGTGACAAAGAGAGTTAGAAGTGGGGCACAAGATGACTCTTGCATTTGAAGCTCCTTGCAAAGACCAGCATCTGGAGATGGAGGAGAGAGAGTCCTCCTAAGGCCTCCCAAATGCAACCTCTGAGCCAGGCATGTCTGACTTGTTGCTCCTGGCCTGCATACACACCGAGATAGCTACGCATCTGGCCCAACACAATATCCTGAATTCACTTCAAACATTATGAGGTACTTTATAGTGGCCATTTGTTTTTGATAAGATCATTGCATAGTTCTCCTAGATGATGTGAATGTTGTAGATGACAACTTTGTGTCACAACATTTAAAAGTTGGCCAGACCTGCAGCCTGTATTCAGGACAAGCAAGACTCTCCTAGAGGCAGGCGGGAAGGTGAAGGACAGAAGACATGAAAGGTGAAGGAACCGAGAAGGCAGCACTAAGCCAGGCACAGCAGGCACTGGGTAGCATCTCAGCCATTCTGTGTGTGGAGTGGAAAACCCTCTCCTTCCTTGCTATAGAGGAGTTCTGGCTGAGTCTGAGTCTGAGGTTGGTGAATGGCATGGGAGCAAGTCAAAACGGGAAGGTGTGGCATTTCTGAGGACAGCATGGAAGTCATTATCACCTCAAATACCAAGTCCATGAACTAGAAAGAACAATGACTTCCTTGAGCTCCTGTGAGGAAGAGACAGGCATCTCCTCTGAGAGTGACTTGCTTAAGGAGGCGTTGGGAGATCCAGGAAGTTGGGGAGAGGGGGGGATTCTCCTCCAGCTGGGAAGGTATTTTCAGCATTATATTCAATAGAAACAGGGACAGAGAAGATAACCAGCAGGGCCAGCTGCTCTGGGAGTGATGGGGTAGTTCATTTGATAAAGAGCCAAAGAATAAGGGTGGGGGACAGAGAAAAGAAATTCCTGCCACCACCTACCAGGAGTAGTCAGAGCACAGGGTTCTCCTGCCATTTCTCCAGGCCTAGAGGTGGAGTGAATGGACCCCTGCTGAGCAGGGCCACGTCTGAGAACCCTGACTGGAAAAGAAGGGGAGAGAGGATGGGGCTTTGGCAGGAGGCCTAAGGCACCCGCTGGCTTGGCTGGCTGGGTCGCATCCCCTCCAGGCTTGGAGGGAGCTCCCTGTAGAGGGGATTATAGACCTCTTGTTCAGGAAATCTACCCTCAGGGCATAGGGCTCACATCTGAATTCCCTAAATAACTGGCCCCCTCCTGGTCTGCAGTGAGATCTTTCCATTACAGGCATGGAGAATCAGACCCTACCTGCCCCTATTGCTTCCTCCTGGGTCTAGGCAGGAAAGGATGGGCAGGATAAGCATGCATGGATTTTCTCATGGTCTGTGGTCCCTTCCAGACCTCAGACTTGGGTCTGGAATAGATAAGACTGGGAAATTATGACAGGAAATGGACACAGTCCCTGCATAGAGACATAGAGAGCAGCTGAAGAAGTAAAGTGTAGTGAAGAAGATTCTAGAAGATTTATCCAAAGACTAGTGGAGTTTAGGGGTGAATAGATGATCTCTTGGGGCCAAGGGGCATCTATACTCCTGGGCTGGAGTTCCTGGGAAATCTCCTTAGCTTCTTCAAGATATAAGGGGAGACAAAAGAGAAACATGAGACTCTGAGCTCCTGCTTTCACACACCCCCCCTCTGCTGGCACTTTCCAGTGTTGCCCAGTCCTTCCCACGCCCTGGCTCTGCTGTCCATAGCCAGGCTCAATAACGGAAAGGGCTGTGCCCTTCCTCTGCTCTCAGTCTGTTAGGGCTCCCTGCCATGCCCTGCAATTAGGGTGACTACGGTCCCAAGGACACTGCTGCTCACATACCTGGGCTGCAACAAGTGAAGGTAGGCAGGGCATCCACGGCTTGCTCTTCACTCATACCTCCCTGGCCTCTCCCTCTGTGGAGGCACTGGGAGTCTATCTCTGACTTCAGAACACAGTGGGAATAGACACCTGGCCCTTTGGTGTGTTGTGCATGGGTTGGCTACTGGTGGACTCAGACAGGGGGACTCATCTGAGTCAAGAAAGGAACAAAGGAGGAAGACAGAAAGACGTGAAAGCAGGAGGTTGGAAGGCAGGAGTGGCCTTGAGAGAAAACACAGAATAGAAAGGTTACAGGGATAGGATGGAGAAGGTCTGAATCATGTTTGGTTGGCAGAAATCTGGGAAGTAGGCATGTGTATGCAGGGGTAGAGAAGAGAAAGAAATAGAGGTCGGGTGCTAGTTCTGACCGAAGGGGACACTGGTGTGTGGGGGTTATGTAGGTAAGTGCTAATTCCAAAGGAGTTTCACTCTGGGCATGTGGCTCAGTTGGTAGAGTGTCTTCCTGGCAAGCATGGAACCCTGGGATCTAGCCCTAATACCCCCCAAACCTTACAAGCCTCTAATCACAGTAGTTGGGAGGTAGAGGCAGGAGGATCAGAAGTTCAAGGTCACCCTAAACTACATAGCAAGGTTAGAAGCCAACACAGACTATAGGAGACAGACTGTCCTTTTCTTTAGGAGTTGATGGTGAAAGGGCAGTGCTCGCTTGGATGCGTGGCCCATCAATTACAAATTAGTCATCTGCACAGGAGTGTGTGGCATGCACATGTCCGTGTGCAGGCGTGCACGTGTGCTACAGCAAAGGCTGTGCAGTTCTGTGGGTGTACGTGAGAGTCCATGGGAGAGTGTGCAAGGGGGAGGGTGGGCGCTCAGCTGCAGATGGACTTGTAAAAGAAACAGTTTTGTTTCCTAAGTGACTGGCCTCCTGGGGCCTCCAGCCCAGACTTGAAGGTTGTTTCAAGATCGTGAAGGAGAGTGGGAGGGACAGAGGGAGGGAAGGAAGAGCTGGGAGAGGCTCCATCATTCCCTCCCACGTCCCTCCTCCTCCCCCTCACCCCACTCCTCTGCCCTAGTCCCCCTTGCCTGCCTCTCCTGCTGCCAGCAGGACTGTCCTGTCTCGCTCATTGCCTGCATCTTTTTTCTTCCTTTTTAACTGGGTTTTGTCATTGCTGCCTGGCTTCTAGAGCCTTCTGGGGGGTGTGAGTGAGAATTGTTCTGCTTTCAAAGAAGACCATCTTGGGGTGAAAAATTAGTTGGGAGTCTAGAAGGCCATTTGTTCTCTCATTCTCCCGAGGCCTCTGCTCCCATCCACTCAGATTGTAGTGGCCTTGGCAGTGGGAATATCAGGCTCCAAGTCACAGACATAGCAGCCCTAGGCCCACTGCTCCTGAGTTTCCCCACTGGACCACAAGGACTGTGTGGCTTTTCTTCTCGTCTATTCCCTGATATTGGTTCCTCTGTTTTCTTCCTAATCTCTTTTCAGTGTACTCAGTACTTCTCTTCCTCAGAATCTCCCGAGCCTGCTGTCTTTAATCTTTTCCCCAGATGGTTTTTATGGTCCTGTTCGAATTACTCAAATCATACTGTATAGAATTAAGAAAAGAGAAGGAAAAGGCTCTGGGAAGCAGTCTCCACGGTCCCTCTGCCTCGGACCCATTGTCTTTTTGCTTTCTTTGCTCCTCTGATTTCAGAAAGGTCCACACTGGGATCCCTTCAGGACACACTGGTGAGGTGCTGAAGAAATTACAGAAGAAAACATTTGTATGCAGGCTCTCTCAGGCACGGTGTACCCGTTTCTCTCCTACCCTTTCTGGCGTCTGGGTTTTTGTCTGGTGCCGTGGGAACTTGCCTGAGAGTCAGACCCCAGGGGTCCCACCCGCCACTTGTATGACCTTATGATAGCCTTGACATTTCCCACCTGAGTTAGGAGGCGCACCAGAAAGCCTTGGGGACCCCTTTTCACTTTTGGTGCTCCCTGAATTCTGGGCTACTTCCTCTTAACTCACAGCCCAGCTTGGGATCAGTAGAAGTAGCCTGCAGTTACTTTGGGCTGGGAGATGAGGGGGCAGTTGCTTCTGCCTGGTCTGTTAGTAGGGTACAGTTATGTCTACTTTGATTATTGTGATTCTAGGAAATGAGTCTGGACCCTTTAACTCTGGGCATAGAAATGAAGAAAGGCTTATGTTTTGTTATGCTTTTTTTTTTTTTTTAAGCAAAGATGACCTTGCTATTTTATGCAGAGCCACTGTGAAGGTGGGCTGGGCCTGGGTACCTTTGGGCTGGAGAACCTGGCATCTCTTGGCTGGCATCCAGGCAGCAAATGCCAGGTGAGGCTGTTCCAGGGGATTCTTTGTGCAGCGAGAGGACTTTAGAAGAGATGGGAGGAAGGGGTTATTGGGTCTTGCTGAGCTTGGGGGCAGGGGTCACAGCTGGGCCCTGCAGGGTTCCTGTTTGCCTTTGATTCCATCTGTGTGGGGAAGGAATGGCCCCCCAGCCCCCTGAGGTAGGTTTGTTTTGGCTGAGGATCTGACCCAGCCACTGGCCCAGAACTCTCCACCCTCCCTGCTCTCCCTATCAGGAGGCAGCCTGGCCAGATCCCTAGCCTCCTCCTTCTGCCTGCTGCCTTCTTTCCTTCCCATGCCCCTTCCTTTTTACCTAGCATACAGTTCTGCTTGTA